AGTTCGCCGCAGCCGCACTCGATTTCGTGCGGTACGCAGAGCCAAGGTTCAGAGAGGTGGTGTTTTGGAGGTTGAAGCTCAATGTGGTCCACATTCCTTTTAGTGCGGACCACAATGGAAGCCAATGCGGCCGCACTCGACTTTGTGTGGTTCGCATTGCCCAAGTTCAAAGAGCTGATTATTCAAGCCCATAGCTTTAGTGTGGCCGCACTTAATTTTGTGCGGTCCGCACTAGCCCCGCAGGGGTATTTTTGTCCAAGATTTTCAGCCTAGTATAAATAGTTTCTTTTCTCATTTTTAGGTCATCAGATAGTTTTGTATCAAGAGTTGCGCTTTCCTTTTAGCTATTTCGAGTAATTTTAGCATGATTTCAACATTGAATCTTCAAATTTAATTTAGCAATTAATTATTATGAGTTTCTCTTCATCTATTTCTTTGATTTCTTATCTAATTATGAGTAGCTAGACCCATAATCTAGGGTTGTGGCTCAACCCTAATGTGGGTAATTGGTGGGTCTTTTGTTTTGGTGCTTAATTGTCTATGGGTGTTTGATATTTGGTCTAATTTAGAGTTTTAATTGTAAATTAGTGGTTGCAAACACTAGTTTATGCCTAGTAGACTTTGGTTCTTCTTGAGAAAGAGAGCCTAAGTCCATGAAATTAGTCCAACAAGGAATTGGGGCGTACTCAAGAGATTTATAACCCCAATTAAAGGGTTAAACCTAGAAATAGTAATACCCGACTTGAACCTTGATTGCTTGTGCAAATTTGCATACCCAATTGGTCTTGAGAAAATCAATTCGGGCAAAATCACTCGAACTACCGAGAGGTATAGAGTGACTAGAATTGTGCAATGGTTATATCATACTCCCCAAATGTGACAATCTATCTTTAGACTCAAGAATCCGTCAATTGCCCACCTAGGCAAAAGTCGCTACCCTAGTACCTTTTACATATTTGCACAACTTGCAATAGTTTAACATTAATCTTATTTATCTTAATTCAGCATTGTAGTATTATAAAATTAGAATTATAATAAAAACCAAAAATGTGTGGAAGTGCAATTAGGAACAAATACGCAACTCCATTTTATAAAGAAACTCAACTCCAATATCTAGCTCCCTGAGGAAATCGATCTCGACCTTAATTGGGTAAAAGCTGCTTCGACCTCTCTCGCTACTCAATAGTAGTGCAGGGTTGGCCTCGATCACACGTGTCCTCACCATCTGTGAGAGAATAAAAGATAGAAGTTTAGAATTGTGATGTCAAAATACCGCACGACAAGGAAATCAAATAAAGTGGAATTTTCCTAACAGTTACATAGCCTCTCGTAGATAAGTACAGACGTCTTCGTACCGATCAGTGAGACTCTAATAAACCGGCTTGTGATCCATGACTCATATGAACCTAGAGCATTGATACCAACTTATCACGACCTCGGTTTTCCCTCCGTGAACCATTGTGACAGTACCTAGTCCTTTACGACTAGGTAAGCCTAAATTGCGGAAGATAACCAAGATGCGGAATAAAACAAATTAAAACAGAATGAAGAGTGATGACAATAGTGTTTATAACTACCGCTCGGCATATACAACACACCATTCTCAGAATCAAGTACACTATCCCAAAACCCGGAAACTCACGGAACCACAAGCCTTTGGATATCTATAATGTCTAACTCCAGAATATCTAACAAGGGAAAGAAATACATAAGGGCAAATATTTAAAAGCTAGAATAGAAAGGGACACCTCAGTTTGTGGACGCGGTAGATATACATCGAAGTCTCTAGAGCAGTTGCCTCGCCTCACAGGTGATAGGACTAAGTCGCAGTACCTGGATCTGCACATGAAAAACATGCGCAGAAGGGGCATGAGTACACCACAACGGTACTCAGTAAGTGCCAAGCCTAACCTCGATCGGGAGTGACGAGGAAGGTCAAGGCCCTACTGAGGTTAAATAAAGTATAAAGTGTGACAGTGTAGAATAGAACAGTATAAATAAATACATCAGTAAAAGTAACACAAGATATAAAAAGGGAAACAACAACTATTATAGGGACAAGGCAAACACGGAAAGAAATGCGACTTAGCACCAAATAACAACCAAGGATCTCCCAGGAAACCAGCCTGTAGTCCCATATATACATATCCAATGGATCTCCCGGGATCTCGTCCTATAGTCCAACTCATAGTGCGCGGGGATCTACCGGAATTCTGTTCCATAGTCCCAATGTAAAAATACAGCAGCAACTGGAAAATATTAAGAAATGGCAAATTTCATATTAAAGCAACAAGTAATTCTAGCCTAGCATGCTGTACAGAATTCAGGTAAGGCAGTTTGAGCAAATAAAACAATTAAATCACTTAGACATGTTTTTCTAAACTACAACGGGTTTAATAGTACGGTAATAAAAATAGGAAAGGAAACATACTGGTAATTATTTAATGAAAATTGGATTTCCAATAATTAGCACAAGTACGCACTCGTCACCTCACGTACAAGGCATTTCAATTACCAAATATACCAAATCCTAAGTGGAAGGTCCCCCACACAAGGTTACACAAGCCACTTACCTCGAACCAGCTCAATAATCAACTTGTAACCACGTTCTTGCCACGAGTACTCGACTCCAAATGGCCCAAATCTATTCAATTCAATTTTATAACGTAAATAACACTTCAAGTAACTGATTCTACAAAGAAATTCTAAGCTAATACGCAAAATTAGGTAACATGACCAAAACGCCCCTCGAGCCCACATCTCGGAATCAGGTAAAATTTATATTTTTAGAATCTTCATGCTCTCACGAGTCTAACCATATAAAAATTATCTCAATCCAATGTCAAATCCCCCAATCAAAACTCAATTTTTTGGTGTAAGAACCTTTTCCCCAATTTCCACCATAATTTCGAAATTAAGGGATGGATTTAAGGGTAGATTCTTGGAAATTAGTCTAAACACGAGTAGGAATTACTTATCCAAATCGCCTAGGTGAAAATCTCTTCAAAAATCGCAATCTCCCGAGCTCCAAAGTCCAAAATATGAATTATGGCTTAAACCCTCGATTTTTGGGTTTTAAAAATCTGCCGAGGAAATTCCTTAATCGCGATCACGGAAGACCAGTCGCGATTGCGAAGAACAAAAACCATGCGCCTCAGATTTACTCTACGCGAATGCGGAACCCCGTCCAAAAACGTGATGCTTAGCTCCCTCAGACTTACGTGAACGCGGTTGGCTTTACGCGATCGCAGAGAGAAACATTTAAGAATCCACTGCCGCCTTATTTCTTCTACGTGAACGCGGCCTAGTCCACGCGTTCGTGATTCAGCACTGCCCCAAAGCTACTCGTTCGCATTCCTTTTCACTCGAACACGAGGATTAAAATTCCCTCTACCTCGCCTAAGCCTTTGCGATCGTGATCCTCTCTACGCGATCGCGATGAAGAAAAGTCTGCAGCACATACCAGCAAAAATCTGATGCTTTTCCAAGTCCAAAAATGGTCCGTTGAGCATCCGAAACTCACCCGAGGCCCCCGGGACCTCAACCAAACCTACCAACATATCCTGTAACTTCATTCAAACTTGCTCCAACCTTCAGAATGCTCAAAACAACATCAAAACACCTATGTTTCATCAGATTCAAGCCTAAAAATTCCAAAAACTCTAAAAATACGCTTTCGATCAAAAAGTCTATCAAACCTCGTTTGAATAACCTGAAATTTTGCACACACGTCACATTAAACACTACGGAACTACTCCAACTTCCAATCTACAACCACCCAAATAGCATCGAACTTTCTAAAAGTCCGTGGTGATCCGCTCCCACTTCCACTCTGGAATCTCTATCTGCTGAAGTAACCTACCCGGTCTTTGGTCCTCATACTTCACCTGCTGACAGTTAAGGCACCGATCTACAAATCCAAATATATCCTTCTTCATCCGCCTCTACCAGTAGTGCTGCCTCAAATCCTGATACATCTTCGCGACACCTGGATGGATGGAATACCGCGAACTATGGGCCTCCTCTAGAATCAACTCTCGAAACCCATCAACATTGGGTACACAAATCCGACAATGCATCCTCAATACTCCATCATTCACCAATAGTCACATCTCTGGCATCACCATGCGGAACCTTGTCCTTGAGGACAAGAAAATGAGGGTCATCATACTGCCGCTCCCTGATAAGATCAAATAAGGAACACCGAGAAACCACGCAATCTAGAACCCAACTAGGCTCTGAAAGATCCAATCTCACAAACTGGCAGGCTAAGGCCTGAACATCCATCGCCATAGGCCTTTCTGATGCTGCTAAATAAGCCAAACTCCCCAAACTCTCTTCCCGGCGACTCAAAGCATCGGCCACCACATTGGCCTTGCCCGGGTGGTACAAAATAGTGATGTCATAGTCCTTCAGAAACTCTAACCACCTCCTCTGGCGCAAATTTAGATCTCTTTGCTTGAACAGGTGCTGCAAGCTCCGATGGTCAGTATAAATCTCATAGGGAACCCCGTATAAATAATGGCGCCAAATCTTCAGGGGTGAACAATGGCAGCTAACTCAAGGCCGTGAACAAGGTAATTCTTCTCATATATCTTCAACTGTTTGGACGCATAGGCAATCACCCTACCGTCTTACATCAACACCGCTCTGAGGCCAATCCTCGAGGCATCATAATAAACCGTATAAGACCCCGAACCTGTAGGCAATATCAAAACTAGAGATGTAGTCAAAGCCGTCTTGAGCTTCTGAAATCTGGCCTCACACTCCTCCGTCCACTGGAACGGAGCACCCTTCTAGGTTAGCCTGGTCATAGGGGCTGCAATCGATGAAAACCCCTCCACAAAACAACGGTAGTAGCCCGTCAAGCCAAGGAAATTGCGGATCTCGATAGCTGAGGATGGTCTGGGCCAACTCTGCACGGCCTCTATCTTCTTCAGATCCACCTGAATACCCTCACTCGATACCACGTGGCCTAAGAATGCCACTGAATTCAACCAAAATTCACATTTCGAGAACTTAGCATATAACTTCTTCTCTCTCAGAGTCTGAAGCACAGTCCTCAGATGCTGCTCATGATCTTCACGACTCTGGGAATACACTAGAATATCATCAATAAAGACAATGACGAACGAGTCAATATGCGGCTGGAACACACTGTACATCAAATGTATAAAGGCTGCTGGGGCATTGGTTAACCCAAATGACATGACAAGGAACTCGTAATGACCATACCGAGTCCTGAAAGCAGTCTTCGGGATATCTGGCTCCTGAATCTTCAACTGATGGTAACCTAAGCACAAATCAATCTTAGAAAACACCTGTGCACCCTGAAGCTGGTCAAACAGATCATCAATACGAGGAAAAGGATAACAGTTCTTCACTCTAACCTTGTTCAACTGGCGATAATCAATACACATAGGCATAGAACCATTCTTTTTCTTTACAAACAAGTCAGGAGCACTCCAAGGTGATACACTGGGCTGAATAAAACCCTTATCAAGCAATTCCTGTAACTGATCCTTCTACTTCTTCAACTCAGGAGGAGCCATACGATACGGAGGAATAGAAATGGGTTGAGTGCCCGGCAACAGATTAGTGCCAAAATCAATATCTCTATCAGGTAGCATGCCCGGAAGATCAGCTAGAAACACATCGGGAAAATCCCGTACTACTGGAATTGAATAAATTGAAGGGGTATCAATAATGACATCTCTCACATAAGCTAAATATGCATCACACCCCTTCTTAACTATATGCTAAGCTTTAAGAAAATAAATAACTCTACTGGGAGTGTGATCTAAAGTATCCCTCCACTCAACACGCGGTACACCTGGCATAGCCAGCATCACGACTTTGGCGTGACAATCAAGAATAGCATAATGGGGTGACAACCAGTCCATGCCCAAGATAATATGAAAGTCAACCATGCTGAGTAACAATAAATTGGCTCTGGTTTCAAAACCACTAGGAGCAACCAAACACGACCGATAAACACGATCCACAACAAGAGAATCTCCCACATGAGTAGAAACATAAACACGGGAACTCAAAGAATCCTGAGATACACCCAAATGCGGAGCAAAATAAGAAGACACATAAGAGTAAGTGGAGCCTGGATCGAATAAAACCGATGCATCTCTGTGACAAACTTGTATAATACATGTGATGACAGAATCAGAGGCAACAACCTCGGTACGGGCAGGAAGGGCATAGTATCTGGCCTGGCCTCCCCCTCTAGAGCGACCTCTACCTCCCCGACCTCCACTTCTAGCAGGCTGAGCAGGTGGGTAGCAACTAGGGCTGTAACCATAGCCTGAGAACTCTGCGGGGCACGTTGTGGCTGAGAAGTCTGTGGAGGTGCACCCCTTCCAAATCTAGGGCAATCCTTCACCATATGGCATGTGTCACCACACTCAAAACAAGCTCTGGGAGGACGTGGTGGTTGTGACTGGCTCGGACCAGGTCTGCTGGACTGACCTCTGAAAGCACCCCGCGCAAGAGGCGCGCTAGATACCAGTGGTGCATAATAAGGCTCCTGAGGCCTTGGAGGAGCTAGAATACCACTGGCTGCTGGAAGAGCTGAATGAATAGGGAGACTCATATAACCCCTACTATGATGACCTGCAGCTGGGGCACGGGCACCAGAGAAATGGCCTGACTCTCAAGACCTCTTGGCCTTCCTCTCTTCTCTCTCTCCCAGCATGCATACCCTCAATCCTCCTAGCAATAATTATCACATGCTGATAAGAAATATCCATCTCCAACTCACGATCCATGTTATACTTGATGTTGGGAATAAATCCCTCAATAAACCGGCGAACCCTCTCGCGAACAGTAGAAACCACGGCTGGTGCATGCCTAGCCAAACTAGTGTAACAGACTGCATACTCTGAGACAGTCATAGTACCCTGGCGCAAATGCTCAAACTCTGCACGCCACATCCCTAAGGCTCTAAGGAACATACTCTCTTAGGAACAGATCTGAAAACTGAGTCCAAGTCAGCGAAGCAGCCTCATCCGGACTGTCTAACTCATAGGTGCGCCACCACTCATAGGCAGCTCCTCCAAGCTGGAAAGTAGTGAAGGAAACCCCGCTCGATCCTGATATACCCATGGTACGGAGAATGCGGTAAAGCTCATCTAGAAATCCCATAGCATCCTTCGATGCTAGACCATTGAATATAGGAGGCTTGTACCTCTTGAACCTCTCAAGCCTCAGCTGCTCCTCCTCGGAAGCCGCTGCCCTGTCCTCGGGCTGAACTGGCACTACAGGCGGTACAGGAATAATCTCAGGGACCTACTTAACATGCACTCGCTACTCGGGAGTACGGGCGGGGGGAGTCTGTGCTCCTCCTCCGGCCTGAGATGTAGTTGCAGCAAGGGGAAGCAACCTTGCCTAAGCCAGAGTGGTGTACATGCTCATGAACTATGCTAGAGTCTCCTGAAGAGCTGGAGTAGTAGTAGCAGTAGGCGTGTCAGGTGCCTGGAATACGGCTGGAACTGCTGGTGGTACCTCAGCGGTAGCTCGCGCAGGTGCTATGGCTGCACCACGTGTACGTCCTCGGCCTCTACCCCAGCCCCGGCTTTTGACGGCTGCATTAGGGGGTGTGGGTGCCTGATCATCTCGGGTAGCATGTGTCCTCACCATCTATGAGAGAATAGAATACAAAATTTTAGAATTGTGATGTCAAAATATCGCACGACAAGGAAATCAAATAAAGTGAATTTTTTCTAATAGTTACATAGCCTCTCGTAGATAAGTACAGACGTCTCTGTACCGATCAGCGAGACTCTAATAAACCGGCTTGTGATCCATGGCTCCTATGAACCTAGAGCTCTGATACCAACTTGTCACGACCCCGGTTCGCCCTCTGTGAACCATCGTGACGGCACCTAGTCCTCTACGACTAGGTAAGCCTAAATTGCGGAAGATAACTAAGATGCGGAATAAAACAAATTAAAACATAATGAAGAGTGATAAAAACAGCGTTTAAAAGTGCCGCTCGGCATATACAACACAACATTCTCAGAATCAAGTAAACTATCCCAAAACCCGAAAACTCACGAAACCACAAGCCTTTGGATATCTACAATGTCTAACTCCAGAATATCTAACAAGGGAAAGAAATATAGAAGGGCAAATGTTCAAAAGCAAGAATAGAAAGGAATTCCTTGGTCTGCGGACGCGACAGATGTACCTCGAAGTCTCTAGAGTAGTCGCCTCACCTCACGGGTGATAGGACTGAGTCGCAGTACCTGGATCTGCACATGAAAAACATGCGCAGAAGGGGCATGAGTACACCACAGTGGTACTCAGTAAGTGCTAAGCCTAACCTCGGTCGGGTAGTGATGAGGAAGGTCAGGGCCCTACTGAGGTTAAATAAAGTATAAAGTGTGACAGTGTAGAATATAATAATATAAATAAATACAGAAGTAAAAGTAACACAGGATATAAAAAGGGCAACAACAACTATTATAGGAACAAGGCAAAACACGGAAAGAAATGCGACTTAGCACCAAATAACAACCGGGGATCTCCTAGGATACCGTCCTGTAGTCCCATATATACATATCTAATGGATATCCCGGAATCCCATCCCGCAGTCCAACTCATAGTGCACGGGGATCTACCGGAATATCGTTCCGTAGTTCAAATGTAAATATACAGCAGCAACAGGAAAATATTCAGAAATGGCAAATTTCATATTAAGGCAACAAGTAATTCTAGCCTAACATGCTGCACAGAATTCAAGTAAGGCAGTTTGAGCAAATAAAGCAATTAAATCACTTAGACATGCTTTCCTAAACTACAACAGGCTTAATAGTGCGGTAATAAAAACGGGAAAGGAAACATATTAGTAATTATTTAATGAAAATCGGATTTCCAATAATTAGCACAAGTACGCACTCGTCACCTCACATACAAGGCATTTCAATTACCAAATATACTAAATCCTAAGGGGAAGGTCCCCCACACAAGGTTAGACAAGCCACTTACCTCGAACCGGCTCAATAATCAACTTGTAACCACGTTCTTGCCACGAGTACTCGACTCCAAATGGCCCAAATCTATTCAATTCAATTTCATAACATAAATAACACTTCAAGTAACTAATTCTACAAAGAAATTCTAAGCTAATACGCGAAATTAAGTAAAATGACCAAAACACCCCTCGGGCCCACGTCTCGAAATTGGGTAAAATTTATATTTTCAGAATCCTCATGCTCTCACGAGTCTAAAAATATCAAAATTATCCCAATCCAATGTCGAATCCCCAATCAAAACTCAATTTCTTGGTCTAAGAACTTTTTTCCAATTTCCACCATAATTTCGAAATTAAAGATGGATTTAAGTGTAGATTCATGGAAATTATTCTAAACCGAGTTGGAATTTCTTACCCAAATCGCCCAGGTGAAAATCTCTTCAAAAATCACAATCTCCTGAGCTCCAAAGTCTAAAATATGAATTATGGCTTAAACCCTCGATTTTTGGGTTTTAAAAATTTGCCCATGCAATTCCTTAATCGCGATCGCAGATAACCAGTCACGATCGAGAAGAACAAAAACCACGTGCCTCATATTTACTCTACTCGAACGCAGAACCCCGTCCGCGAATGTGATGCTTAGCTCCCTCAGACTTACGCGAACGCGGTTGGCTTTACGCGATCGCATAGAGAAACATTTAAGAATCCACTGGCGCCTTATTTCTTCTACGCGAACGCGGTCTAGTCCATGCGTTCGTGATTCAGCACTGCCCTAAAGCTACGCGTTCGCATTCCTCTTCACGCGAACACGAGGAGCAAAATTCCATCTGCCTTGCCTAAGCCTTCGCGATCGCGATGAAGAAAAGTCTGCAACACATACCAGCAAAAATCTAATGCTTTTCCAAGTCCAAAAATGGTCCGTTGAGCATTCGAAACTCACCCGAGGCCTCCGGGACCTCAACAAAACCTTCCAATATATCCCATAATTTCATTCAAACTTTCTCCAACCTTCGTAATGCTCAAAACAACATCAAAACACTATTTTTCATCGGATTCAAGCCTAAGAATTCCAAAAACTCTAAAAATATGCTTTCGATCAAAAAGTCTATCAAACCTCATCCGAATGACCTGAAATTTTGCACACATGTCACATTAAATACTATGGAGCTACTTTAACTTCCGGAATTCCATTATGACCCTCGGATCAAAATCTCACTATCGATCCGAAAACTTCAAAAATTCAACTTTCGGCATTTCAAGCCTAAATTAGGTACGGACCTCCAAAACACAATCCAAACACGCTCCTAAACCCAAAATCACACAACGAATCTAACGGAATAATTGGATTTCCATTCCGAGGCCGTCTTCACACTGTTCTAACTATGGTCAACTTTCCAACACTTAAGTTCTCATTTAGGGACTAAGTGTCCCAAAACTCTCCGA